TTCGTGGACTGAATACGCGGGGTTTCTTTCACCACAAAAATCGATGATGCACACCTAAGCTGCTAATTTAAATTGGGGACATTATACATCAACCGGTAGCTGACAATGATGCTAATACGAAAATCAATAAGCCGTTCGAAAAAACTGCATTTTTGCATTAAAAAAGTGTAAAAAAGGTCATTCATGTAAATATATAAATTCTTTACAAAAATAATTCATTTAAATTTAAAAATGATAAAAGCAGATAAAAGTAGATAAGCTGGGATATGTTAACTGCAAAAGAAATTTCATCAAAATTTCTCTTTCGCCGAAAACGCGGTGTTTCTTGAGTTACAGGATAATTCGAAGAAGCACACCTAAACCGCTAATTAAAATTGGTAACACTTAACATTAATCGGTAGCTGACAATGATGCTTATACTAAAATCGATAAGCCGTTAGAAAAAAATACGATTTTGCATTAAATGCATTAAAAAAAGTTCGGTCATGTGTATGAAATTTATTTCTAAACTTTATATAGGTTTTCATTTTAACGGTTTTTATATTATTAACTCATTTAAATCCAGAAATGGAAGCAGAAGATAATTATAAACAAGCAGTTATTGGCTAACCACAAAAATATTTGCATAAAAGTTTCTCGTATGCGGAAAACGCAGTGTTTTTCTTTTAAGTAAAACCAATGGAGCACAACCTTCCCGCTAATCAAAATTAATAAAATTATATTCTTTTAGTATTAATTTAATTTTTGTTTACTTTAGTATTAATGAGGTCTATAGCAAAATCTATAAGCCGTTTGAAAAAATACAACCATTTTGGATTTAATGCAATTTAAAAAAATGCATTCGAATATATGCTTAAATAAATTAAAACCTCATAATTTTTAATCTACCAAACATAAATACATAATTTTTTTAGTTAATGATTGTAAATTAACGTATTAATTCATCATGTTAAATAGTCTATAAAAAATGTGTACTTAGTTTTATAAAAAAATATTTTTTTGAAGAGGTTGAAAAAACTCTTAAAAAGCGAATTTTTCCACGAATATATAAAATATTTGGGTTAAATTAATTTGTATTTTGTGTCCTTCGTTGTGGGTTATATCCACTCTTATATTTTTGAGTTTCGGGTAAAAACGTAATTTTGGGAATTTTTTTAAACTGTTAACTTTAAACCACTCAACAACGACTCCATCCAACGAGGGAGAAGCTGCATTCCAGCACCACCACGCCTGAGGTGCTCTGCTATTAGTTTTTGGTTTTCCGACTAAGTGATAGATTTTATCCAGACGACAAGACCGACGTACCAAAAATTCCTTTTCTTTATAAAAAAAAAACATTTATTAGTTAGGGGAAGATATCTTTATTTTTGAGGAATCCTTACCTCGTATTGCTTGACCGACGCCATCCCGCGTGAAATTCTCATTCAAACCACGCGTGCGCGAACTTTGGGGTAGAGCTCTGGCCTAGAATTACAGTAGTTTACGGTGTTTGGGTCCTAGGTTTCCCGTAATATTATAAAGGAAGTTTCCCTGAAAATAAATAAAAGGAATAAGGTAAAAATAGATTTTGTTTACTTACCCGAACGGACACTAATACTGACGGACATTAGAACGCCAAAAGAACTCTTCCCGCTCTATAATTGCCCCCCGTAAACCAGCTAGTTGCCGCAGAAAAACACTTGCCAGATCCCCAAGCGAAATTATGAACGTAAACATAAATTTGAGAGCATATAGTTAAACCTAAATTTAAAGCCTAAATCTAAAACTAAATCTAAATCTAAATTTAAATTTTAAAACCAAAATCTAAAACTAAAGCTAAATTTAAATTCTAAATTTAAAGTCTAAATCTAAAACTAAAGCTAAATTTAAATTCTAAATTTAAAGTCCAAATCTAAAACTAAAGCTAACAGCTTGTTTTTCTAAAATGAAAATTTGTCTTCGTTCTTAAAAATAACGAACGAAATTGGCTTTACGTTTTTGTAACGAAAAAATAAATTTTCATGTGAGTGACAACGAAAGAGCTTTATTTTTCCATATATTTTTGGTTTTTAGAAAATGAATTCGTTCGTAATAAACGAAAGAAATGTCAGAAATAGACGATAGGCAAAGGCCTTTCGTTTGCCCAAAAAACAACGAAAATTTTACCAAAATACGTAATAATATGTGGCCATTTGAACCAGAATGTAATTCGCAATATAAACCTTTAAATTTCTTGAGACATTGCATACAATTTTCATGTTGTTTTTAAAAAAACATTTTTTTATAATTTCAATTTTTTTCTAAAATTATTTTATTTTTGTTTATTTTTTAGGGTTAACACCAAACACCTTATTACTACATGAAAAAATATTTAAAAATTCAGAAATGAAATACGTAGGCAATAATATTCTGTTACGAGAGAAAAAGCTCATTTCATTTTAGACATTTTTAAACGAAAACTTTCAAATGTTTTATAAAAACCTAATTTTAAACTTGATCGTAATAAAATGAAATGTTCGTGTGAGAACTAAATTGTTTTAGAAAAACAGGCTGTAAATCTAAATTGTAAATTTTAAAACCTAAATTTAAACCGAAATCTAAACCTAAAACTAAAGCTAAATCTAAATTTTAAAGCCTAAATCTGAACTTAAAATTAAAATTAAAACTAAACTAAATTTTAAATCTAAATCTATTGTTATTGTTAAAGTTTGTTGAGAATAATTTCGATAATAAAATCCAACGTTTATAATGTTTAAATGAAATCTTTAAAAGTTTTAATCAGTTAAAATGATCGGCTAAATCTAATATAACCGGCGGTAAGTAGGGAAGGGAAAGTTTGCAAGGTAACTTTTGGGAAATCCCTAATATTAGGATGTCATGGCGGGATTATCCAATCCCGAGTGGGAGGGTTTAACCTGGCACAACATCTGCCAGCCATCATAGTTCGTAGGTACGTTTCAGCAGGGGGACAGACAATCCTACTCGGTGCCCCTTTTATCTTTTTATTTTTTTATCTTCTTTAGCTGGTATGATTTTTTATGTGTGTGTGTAGATGTTTAGAGTGGCTGCAAGAACCACCTCCATCCGGAGAGCTCCAAGCCCGGTAAACGCGAGCATACCAGCGCCGCTACCACTTTGGCAACACCAGTTTCCTTTGTTTTGTTTTGGTATGGATTTACCATACCAACATATACAACCACTACACTACACTACAAACTTGGGTGTTGAAATTTGTCACCAGGTTTTTTCCAATTTTGAATTTTTTACAGTTTTTTTGAAAGGGCGCTGACGCCCTTTAATAAAATACAAAAATTGGGACAACAGTGGTTAGCTGATGTAATTATACACAGTATGGTATATATGTATATCTGAATAGGAGATCGGAACGACAGCTACAAAAGTTGGAAAACTTGAACGTAAATTTCTTAAAATATCAGTTTTTGGCGCGGCACATTCGCACTTATATAGGAAATATTTTTAATTATTGCGTAAATTGAGTTTTTTGTTATTTTGAAATATAAAATCGGAGGAGCATGCAAAAATATTCGAATGCAAAAATTTTATGAACTTTTTAAAATTTTGTAAAATTTCATTTTTTATTTTTGCGATTTTATATATCAAACATCGACTTATAGAAACATTTAATGAATAGACATGAAGATAATGACAAACACAATGGTTTGGGATCATAAATGTATTTAAAATGTCCTTGTAAGCTACAAAGACGTCACTTTTATCTAAGCACATTTTGGCAAGGCACATCAAGGATGATGCTCAAAATTTGTCAAAATTATCACCATTTGCAAGTTTTCTTAATACTTTAATGTAAAACTGTGGCGCATCAAAAAAGTTAAATAATTGTAGTTTTTGTGGGCCAAATAAAATGTACCTAGCATCAAAAAGCATCACTCTATAAATATTTAATTCATTCAAACTATAATTTTTTATTTGCATTCCCTTATAAATCAAGCTCGTAGAATTCAGATATTAACAGTTTTTTCTTAAATTTTACTAATTCGCGATTTTTCAAAAACTATAAGCAACAAGTTAAAAAATTACTGAAATGAAATTTCTTACTGTGTATTTTTAAAATTTTTTAAAGTAAATCTTATGGTATGTATTTAATGCGCTAAATTTGAATTATTTTTACAATTATGTGCAATTTTTTTTTCAAATATTACATATATAAATACTATTTTTAAAAGCTTTTAAATATTTAAGTGAAAACCGCTATAACTTTTGCGCCCCTCGATCAAAATGATTGACGCGAACGGATTAGGGTCTGTTTCAAGATATATTAATTATAAGGTAGTGTCGTCGGCGAATTCAGAAATACGGAGCGAATTCATTTATTTTTTATATATGGAGTTTGACAGCATGCCTACACTTCAAAGTACCAGCACACTGTCAAACTACATATAAAAAAAATCAAAAGTGTATTAGCAAAAAACAATCAGCTGCTCTGTTAACACTACCTTATAATTAATATACCTTGGCAAGGTATATTTATTTTATAAGGTAGTGTTAACAAAACAGCTGACTATTTTTTGCTCACATTCATGTTTTTTCGCCGCGGTGTAGAGTTAATGTCAAACTTTGTTTACGTTTGGTTAATGTATGCAAAATGTCAAAGTTTGTTTATATTTTTAATTTGACATTTAAAAGTGTGCTTTTAAAAGTAAAACTAAATTTATAATCAAATTGTGAAAAATTGTGAGTGATAAAAGTGTTATTATTGTGAAATTAAAAAAAAACAATGCGTTGTTGCAAAATATGTGGGAAGAAAGTGGAGGCTGGAGGTGGGACATTTTTTAATGTGCCCAAACGATCTTCCAACATATCGTGAAATGGTGCGGTTCAAAAAAATCAAAATCGCGAAAAAGGCCAAAATTACCCCAAAAATCTAAAATATCTGGCAAACTATAGATGATATCGAGATACGGGTTTCGGAATCGGTAAGAGCACCTCCAAAATATATAGAAACATAATTTTTTTCAAAAATGGTCGGTGGAGCAAAACAATAATATACTGACGATATATATTCCATTCTGTTTTAGTTCTATGTAGTTTAAGATTTCACTAAAAACTTGAAAAGGCAATTATTTAAAATAATTATATCCATAAATAATTGTTGAGCCTTTGTGTCCTTCTGCTGCAAACAAGCCTTCCACTGATCAGCCGACAAACGTTATTTTAGCATTTTCTTGTCTAGACCGAAGAGTGTTCCTAATAGGGAAAATCATTAAACAACTTTCTAAACGCTGGACAAATTCTTTGGCTACTTACGAAGAATTTTAACAATTTTATTATATTTCAAAAAATCTTTTATTTACAAACAACTTTTTTTTTTAATTTTTACAAATTCGCCTCATATTATAAATCAGCTGTTTTTGACATTGTGCCTACACCAGAATTCGCCTAAACAAAAACAAATACTGTACAGTGTTGTATTTCGATTCGCCCAAGTTTTTTTGAATTCGCCCTTAACACTACCTTATAAAATAAATATACCTTGTACCTTGGGTCTGTTTATAATCACACAAAATATTTTGAATGTGTCATTTTTTTTTTTTTTTTTTTTTTTTTTTTAACTCTAAAATTAAAAAAACTTTGATAATTGGTCATATATGTACTCAAATATGTAAATACATATTGATATACTTTGGTATAAACTATAAAAATTATAAGGTTACGAACCTTATAATTTTTGTTAACCTGTTATTTTTATTTTCATTTTATTTATTTATTTTTTATTGAATCTGTCTTAAGTAGAAATTTACAATAATTATTAAAATTTTAACCTAAACTATGACTAACGTTGTTACTGCCAGTGCAGTTTCAACACAAGTTCTCGATTTGATCATCTGGCAAGATCCAGGGTTTCCATTCTCCGTCTATGACCCTCAAATAGCAGCAACTTCCAGGCAAGGGGATTTGGGTGATCCATTAGTTTCGACAGGTAGGATAAACTGTAGAGTTTGATCTCCTCACGTATTATGGGGACATATCGGTTTAATGACAGTCTTGTACAATAGCACTTTGTACTCCTGTTAATTGACAGCTATTGTTGTTGATCTTTGAAAGATACTTGACTGCTCTTGCTGTTGGCCATAAATTTATTGTTATATTTTATATAGAAATCAGTGTGACCAGGTCTCAAAAAATGTTGCGGCTAAATCCCATCCAAAATAATGTTAGAAAAAATGCTAAATTGATTTTAAAATGCCAAAAAAAAAATGCTAAACTTTTTTTAGTGTTTTTATGAACAATTCATATTAATTTGTAACTGAAATTCATTGTAATTTATAACAAGTAAGAAAGTATATTCTGCCGTAGTTGACCATATGAGTATAAAATTTGATTTATTTTTCGTAATAAAGCATTTATGTTGAATTGAACCTTGGTTTCAATATATTTAAACTAATTTTCTAAGAAAGGCTTTATACATTTGTATATGTATGGGGGCTAGGTAAAATAAAGGACGGACTTTAACCATTTTTAAAAGGTTTTGTCATTGGATCAAAAAGCATACGTGCTTATTGTTTTGAAAATTTCAACCTCTACCAGACGGTCAGACTTACATGGCTTAATCGATTCAGAAAATGATTCTTAACCGATTAGTATACTCAAACGTAGTATAGTGGAGTAGGGTAAAAAATTAAGTTCCGTGGTATTAAGATAAACAGAAATGCTAAAAATTATTTCAAAATTTTTGTAAATTTAACAATATGTAATGTCTCTAACTTTAAAATATTTCTGAATGCAAAAATTACATTAAAACTCTATTAATTACACTAGTTGCTCATGGTATAAAACCTATATGTGTTTTCGGAAGGAAAAGTATAATATTTCTAGTTTTACTTTTTTTATATAAACAATTTTATTTGTCTTCCTCAAAACACTTTAAAAATGGTTTTCATGTCACAAAAATATTGAAAATTCCGTTGAAATAATAGATGTCAGGTTTATAACTCATACTTCCAAGATTTTTTCGGAAAAATATATATGAGAATGTATGAAATGAATTGAGAGATATATTCAAATCCGTAAGTTTGTAATTCTGGAATAAATTGTCAATAATATTTTCGAAATTTATGTATTTTTTTAATTAAAAAAAACGTGACAACAAAATTACTAAAAATTTGGTAAAAATAAAAAGAACAAAAAGTAGGATGAGAAAGTCTTAATTATATATTATTGATTTTTTTCAATACTTATTTTCAATAAATTAACAAGAACTCCTGAAGGATGATAAAAATTAAAACATCTTTATTTCGTATAGGAAAAAATAAAATTTGTTAATTAACTGTCATACATAGCCTTTTCCAAAATTATATGTTTCATTCCATGAGCAAACAAAAAGTATTAGTTTGTAAAATAGCGTACTGAACGTATTTGTAAAAATATATGAAATCTCTTGAATCACCTCGAATTTAAAAAAGCATTGGGTTCCAGAAAAATATTTTAGAATACAACATTTTAAAGTATTCACTTGTATTGGCGTAATTTTAAGTTATTTATCTTTATGAATCTTTTTGCATTATTTAGAATTACAGTGTAAATTGTTACATTTCTCATATTTCATGTTGCTTGTGTTTGGGTAGACATTTAATTCTGATTTTTTCGGTTAAACCTATTTCCAATATAAATCTTTTTTGCAAAAATTTGTCTTTTTTTTTTGTTTATATAATAAAATTGCAAAAAAAGCTAAAAATGCTAAAAATATTTTATAAAAATGCTAAATAAAATGCTAAATTAAAATTTTACAGCTAAATCAAAATAAAAAATGCTAAATCTAGCTGCAAAAATGCCAAAATGGTCACACTGATAGAAATATAATTTCTCTTCTTTCAATCCATTTCAATTTCGATTAATTAAATTTCTTTTCACTTTTAATTTATTTATATTTATTAACTTACACTTTCGATTTTAACACCGTTCACAAATAATTCTTACTCACATGTTATGTTTTGTTCTTTTGATTGCAAAAATAAAAATGTCGTTACTTTATCGTTTGCCAAACAAACAGTTGCAATATCATTTTCGAGTCTTTTGCATTGCTAAAAACGAGATCACAGTATCATTAATAAATAATTGGCGTCAATTTATCGAAGTTCTTTTAATAAAATGAACCTTCGAGAAATTTTGAAGCTTAGATAATTTCTCGAACATTTTTGATTCGAGATTTTAACGAAAAACACGTATTGTCATAAAATTATCGAGGATTCTAAATTTTTAAAATTTTCCATGTTTCTCGAAAATTTTTATTTCGAAATTTCTTCGTTTTATTGAATAATCTTTATTTTCGAAACTCAGGTCGGGTGGGACCATATTAAGCTGTATGTTTTCTTGCGTATGCATGCACACAAATTCTCATTTATTTGCGAAATTGTCAGAGGTAATCTCGCTTTTTTTTGACATATTACCGTTATTTATGAACAGATTTTGCTGAAACTTCTCGAAAGCATGTCTGAAAGAATTTTTGATCTCGAAGATATCTGGGGTCGTCAGAAAATTGATTTCAACAGACGGATGGACATGGCTCAATCGACTCCGCTAATTATAAGGATCCAGAATATATATGTATATACAACTTTATAGGGTCGAAAAATTATATTATAGAAATTACAAACGGAATGACAAACTTATATATACCCTTCGCAGGAAGGTGAACGGTATAAAAATGAAGAGTTGAAATAAAAATACATAGGTCCCGTGAGTTTTAAATAAATCTCGTGAAAATGAGTTGTATAACGAGAGAAATACATAAAATAGTATTCACGAATACAAAAATGTCCTACTCTGGTCGACAATCCCGATTTTTAAAGTATTTGCTTCCAAAATCCCACTCTTTAATCTCACGGATTCCGTTTTTATTTAAAATCGATGAAAATTTAAAAACTGAGCGTAGTTGAAAACTTAGCCGGCTTACAGTCGATTTTAAGCCGCCGTCGATATTTTTAGTGTTAGCCGCCGTTAATATTTGTCGGCGCAGGGCTCTGGTCAGAAAATGTATTTTTCTTAATATATTTTTATGAAGTGCTATTATTTGTCTACATTTTAAAAATAATAATAGTAATAATTGTAATAATGTGCATTTATAATTTAAAAACTTGATGTGAATTGTTGTAATACCATACGTTATTGCCTTTTGTAAAGTTGTTGGAAGTTTGTTGGTATCAAGATTGCTCCAAATCCATTTTTTGAGACTCCGCTGTGAAAACAATAAAAAATATTGGCATAGTATTATTAAAAAAAGGCTTTGTTTGTTACAGTAATAAAAAAGAAAAGAAGCATGACATAAATACAATCATTTAAAAATGATAAAAAAGAAATTATATTCAAAGCGGTTTTAAAATAAAATATATTGCTTTTTTATAAACATATGTACATATATGTTTTTTTTTTATATTTGCATATGTTGTGCGTATTTTCATTTAGTATCTAGTTGGCTAAACTACTTCAAAAAGATAATAACCTTAAATAATGGCAGCTGCTGCTGTAGCGGGTGCTGCTGTCTCAGCAAACGAAATTGATGAATTCATCAATGGTGCACTTGTTTCGTGGGTAAGTTTAAAATTTATAACTATTCTTTGTTTATAACATTTTTAATACAATAGTCTATTTATATGTACATACATAAGTGTATGTACAATATGTATATTGTTTGTTAGTCATGACATCTTAAGAAGACAATGGAAAACGGCAAACATTTTAAGGGTAGGTTTGTTAAAAAAAAACAAACATGTCAACAAATAAAATCTGTAACAGTTTAACAGGTGTTAAAAGTAATTTACACGTGCTTAAGTTTTTTTTGATACTCCAGAACACTGTTGAAATTATCAAAACTATTTTATGAATTTTCATTTAGTATTTAAAATTTAATATCTATTTAATTCTAATTATTAGAGTTGTACACCTACAACAAAAATACTTGTATTCTTGTTGACTCAAGACTCACCTAATTTTTATACCTATGATGCTTTTACTTCAACTTCGACTGTGGCTAATAGTCCTGTCCCGAGGAAAAACTTTCGGTTTACACAGCTGTAGCTGGGTTGACAATCTTTGACCGAGTATAACTCGAGTCATTGGTTAAAAATAGTATTAAATGGTTAAAATCATAAATAATTGTTTGATTTGATTGTATGCAATTTTTATACCCACTATTAACTATACATATTGTGCAAACACAGAAAGTGTATTCTGGGCGTCTAAGGTTCATCTGGCTCATTAGATGAAGTACATATAAGTGTGTTCGTATTTGTTCGCCATTGTACATGTAACCAATGAAGACTCAATGAATAATTATTAGTTTTTAACATGAATTTGTTTTTAACATGATATTGAAAAAATTATATATGATTTGTACTTCAGAAAATTACTTTAACTTTCATAAGAAAGCACCATCTTTCTATTATAATAAAATTCGAAAAAATTACCTATATGTTTGAAGAAATTTATCACTCTTTTCAATTCTATAAAGATCGTTCTATAAATGTCCAAAGC